ACGACATCCCAAAGAAACCACGTCTCGCGAAGGTCCCGTTCGATGCAGTCATGAGAGTCGGAGTGGTGGAAACCGACATCACGGATCTCCAGATCAGAGACATCAAAATAGATGACGTTAGCTTTATAGATTGCAGAACGGTGAGAGACTTCGCTCCGATGCTGCCAAGGGCGCTCCCCAACGTCGTCAAGGTCCACGTGCACGGCATTCGCGTCACGGTCGATATGGCGTACGATTCGCGCGGCTTGTTGGGGTTTGGCGCAAGCGCTGGCAAGGCACGATCCACCGTGAAAGGGGAGATGAAGCTCACCTTGGCCTTTCTCGCTTTCGACGACTGGCACGTGTCTTCCTGCGCGGGCAATTTCACGGTGGCAGACACACAGGTGATCGGCGAGGGCTTGGGCGAGCTTGCAGTGCCAGTGCCGAACGCGCTTCCCTTCGCCTCAATAATGTGCTACGGCCTTGGCGCGGTGATGGATTCCGGGCTGGTCGGCCTCACGCTGGAGGGAGCACAGGACACACGCTACGAGGGCAAGGAGGCAACCTTTCGTGGAGTCGTGCCGATGGTCAACGAGCGGCTGAGCCGGATCGCGCCCGCGGTCCGTGGGACAGCGCAAACCCTACACGTCGACCTGCGGGACTCGGTCCACTGGGTTGAGGACAAAATGCGGGACTCGGTCCACTGGGTTGAGGACAAAATTCCTTGTCTTGGTCTCCTCCGCTCCTGCCATCCGCCACCTTCGCCGCCGGCGCCACCAGAGTGGTTGTGGCGCTGACAGCAGTAAACGCTCCACATGAAACGCTCACAGACACTGAAAAGCATGCTCAGAAGTCTCTCACACTATGTGTTGACTCTCTCAGTAAAGTGTAGGTGAGTCTAGAGGAGAGATGGGGAAAGGAGCTGTAGTTTCAGAGAGTTTGACTAGCTTTGAGTCAGTTTCATACTTTAATACGCCGTCACGTGTTCGCCCGGTCCCCGCTCGCGTCCAGCTTCTGCCGCGCGTCTGCGTGGCAGCGCTTGACACTGACGAGGGTTCGTCTCGCTGACCACGAGCATCTTCACCGCCCCTCGGTGGGCGAGCCGACTCAGTTGCCAGTCAACATGCTCGGCGCCCGTGTACCTATCCACAAATTTGGCGGTGATCAGACCGCTCCCGACCTCCGCTCGACGGAAGGGTGGCGGCGGGTGCACCCCGAGTTGGCAAAGGCGTCAAGGAGGCGCCTGGCGCCGCGGCTTCCCCGCAGCACGTAGCAGCCCAGCCACACATTTGGCATCCGCGGCTCGCCTGAGGCGAGAGAGGAGGGGTCGTCACTTGAGGAAGCGTCTACCCGCGAGCGCACACGACGCACGGGCACGCGGCAGGGCCCTCCACGCCACCGCCGCATTGGCAGTGGCAGGGCCACCGGGCGCGAGCGGTGCGGCGTTGTTCAGCGCCGCGCACTTCTCGCCGCCCCGCTTTGCCTGACATCCACACGAGGCATACCATGCACTTTCCTCGTCCGCTCGCGCTTGCCGCGCCGCATTGCGCCCGACTATGCCGCCGCGAGCAGCACGCCTAGACCCCCACGACGCCTAAGTATTGCTCACGGAACCCGCCGCCTCACCTCACCACCCCCACCACGCGATGCGCCCTCTCTCGCGGCGCGAGCGGCTGTAACCCCCCTCGGCCTCGCACCGCTTGCCTACTCCCGCTCGCAGGTACAGCCGCTGCCATCGAGGAAGCCGCGAGACGCGTCCGCTGCTGCCCATTCCCCACCCTTGTCCCGCGCAACCGCCCTCCCTCTCTTCTGGCAAGAGAGCGACCCGCTCTCGCTTGCTCGCCAATCGCCGCCCGGCTCCAGTCCGAGCGCCGAGGACGCGAGAGAGCGCGCCGGCGGCCTCGTCTCGACCGTTCAGGTGCTTTCATCTTTGTGCTTTTTTGTGCAGCCGCCGTCACTGATTTCTTTTTATCTAGCGAGGCTCCGCGCAAAGTCACCTGTCCGGCTCAACGACTTTTTTTTCATCGAACAATGCCGTCAAAGGTCCGACCTGTGTGTGGGCACTGCCTGCGCTCGGCACCGGGCACCGCACTGCTTTTGCTCGCCTTCTATGCCGCCGTCGAGGCCGAGAAGCCCGAGGGCTGGACCAAGCTGAAGTACAAGCTTTGCTTGCTGGACCTGGCCAGCGCCAAACTTGACTAGAAGCTCCTCATCGGGAGCATGGCGACGTTTGCGGAATCTAGGGCTAAGGATGAGGATACTCTAGCGACGACGAATTTTTCGTCATACCCAAACGGAACCGATATCAAAGCTCGGCTGGAAGCAGCATTGGTCGAGAAGAAGATTTCGGACGCCGAGTACGTTTACAAGCACATCGAGGTCTCTGAGTGTGCGCCGACGGAGGCCAGCGAGGAAACGGCAGACGCCTGCCTTGCCCTCGACCTCTCGGGGGAGAAGTACCTGCGCATGTTTGATAATTACGCCAACGCCACCAAATATGCACAGTGCCCGGAAGAAATGTGCAACTGCTGCTGCGTTTCCCTCGCGGATGTGGACACCTGCGTCACCCAAAGCCAAGCGGCGCTCAAAGATCTGGCGATCTGGGACAAGGGTGAAGATACGTCGATGTGCGGCTACGCCCCGACGCCTACGCCTACGCCTACGCCGACTCCGACACCTGGTGGCGGCGGCGGTGACGATCCCTGCTTCTCTCGCGACACGTACGCGTGCCGCCTCCTCGACCCCAAGGCGCGCTCCCTAGGCGGCGAGGCGGACTAGCGAGGAGCGCATTCGCACCCTTGCCCCTCCCCGCC